AAAGAGAAGGAAAATAGAAAAACAAATATAAGACAATTACAAAATCAGCCCTGGAGATACAACATCTAAACAATAGGAGTTCCAGAGAGAGAGTACAGGGGGATGAAAATAAAGAGAAAACCAGAATGAGAGAGAAATCAATAAGTAAATAGAGGAAAAAAAGTTATGAGAGACATACTTAAAAAAATTTCTTAGAATTGAGTTTCTGATTGATAGGGCCCACTGAGTTCACCAAGGCACCTTGTCCTGAAATTTCAGAACCTTGGGGATAAAAAGAGGATCATAAATGCTTCCAGGTTGAAAAAAAAAGTCAAATATAAAGGATTCAGAATCATAATTGTATCTGCTACTCAACAGCAACACTGAAAACTGGAAGACAACACAGTAATATCTTCAAAATTCTGAGAGAAAAAATATCCACCTGGAATTATTGAAGTCTTATAGTTCCTGAAGTACTGACACCTACTGAGCTAGAGACAACTGGGTGAGAGTTTAGGGATAATATAGTGATTGAAAATTAAATGAAGTCACCAAGGAAAAAGTAAAACTCATAAATTTCTTTTGTTTGCCCAGAAAACTAGACAAACATAAACACTGGGCAATTTTTAATTCCAGAGTAAACGCACAGGGGCTCAAGAAAAGAAATATAAAAAAATTACAATATATTACATGTAATTTGTCCACTACATGGCTCAGCTGTGCCTGGCACATAGTAAGTATTTAATAAGTGGAAGCTATGTGTAATGTAAGTGGTAGAATTGAGATATGTATAAAGTTGCATAAGAACACTATTAAAAGTAGAACTTAATTCATGCTCTGGTTGGTATGGTTCAGTTGGTCCCATGCATCGAAAGGTTGCCAGTTTGATTCCCGGCCAGGACATATGCCCAGGTTGCAGGTTCGATCCCCAGCAGGGGGCGTGCAGGAGGCAGCCCATCTATATTTTGCTCTCACATTGATATTTCTCTCTCTCCCTCTCCCTTCATGTCTGTTTAAAAAAAAGCCAATAAAAATATTTTAAAAAAATAAATAAAAGAACTTAATTCTTTCAGCAGATAGGAAAGGCTTCATAGTATTAGAAAGCCAGGTGACAAGTGGGAAGGACATTCCAGGTGGAGAAAAGTATAAGCCCTCAGAGCTCGCTGGTGACTGGCTTGTTTATGGTAAATGATGCCTTTTCGCTTTGACTCCTGGCTCAGGCCCTGGGGCCACTACCGTGTCCCAGATAAATTAAAGGCTGCTTAAATTGGCAGGGGAGGCGGATTGAGCAATACTGAGAAGCTCTGGGAACATTGGGCATTTAGAGAGAGCAGCCAAGGGAGCCTCCCGGATGCAGCCATAGGTGTCCATGTCCATACCAAGACCGGACCTTCTGGAGAAACAGAGGTCTGAAAGCTCGTCATGTGTTAAGCAAAGAAGGTTGGGAGCCAAGGATTTATATTCTGTCAAGGTGACTTTCAATGATTAAGGCTGCAGACGAACCATTATGAATACTTAGCAACGCAGAGAACATTGTTGCCATGAACTTTTCCTGAGGAATATGCTAGAAAACTAGCCTCACATAATCAAAATGACTAAAATGATCTCGGCATTGATCGTTGCTGGTTCTAACATCACACCAAGAGAGAGTCCGACACTGTGCGCGTCCTTGGGGAATAGCATGGCACGTCTGTGCAGCCGTGTCGAGGACACGAACCGAAGCCTCAGCATGGTGATGACCAAGAGAGGCGGAGGCTAATTTGAGAAAATTTGAGTGCAAACTCAGAAGCACCCAGCCACCTGGCTCCATAGGAGAGGGAAAGGAGGGAGTTAAGAATGACAGTGAGGCCCGGCCAGGTGTGGCTCAGCGGTTCAGCACCGACCTGGGATCCAGGGGATCAGCGTTCGATTCCTGGTCGGGGCACATGCCCGGGTTGCGGGCTAGCTGATCAATGACTCTCTCATCATTGATGTTTCTATCTCTCTCTCCCTCTCCTTTCCTCTCTCTGAAATCAATAAAGATATATTTTTAAAAAAAAAGAAAAAAAAGAATGACAGTGAGATTTCTAGTGTGGGTCACCTTGAGGGCGGTAGGAAGCTACCAAAATTTTGCTTTGGTCTTTGATTGATGGTAGAGGAGTGACATGATCAGACCCGCTGGGACAGACTGGCAGTTAGGAGGAATGCAGGGTTTCAGGGAGCCTAAAGGGAGAGAGAATGACTGGGAGGAAAAGGGGGAAGAAAAACTTACAGTTCACAGGGCTGAGGCTTCAAGTAATCAGGAAATATTATTTAGCCATTAACCTCGCAGACAGTGTGCTTGAGTGACAGAGGAATTGTCTGAAGGTAAAAAGTGACAGGGTATCTGTTCTGTTTTCTTAGATTCTGTCTGTCTGTCTGGCACGTGTTGATCACACCTGAAGGTTCACTCCTGTCCTGCACATCAGCTTGTCTGGAACTCACACACCTGCTCACCTAACTCTCACACGCCAAGCCCACGTTTCCCCTGCCCTAAGCCTCCCGCAGCAGCTAGAGACCACCCCACAGCCCCAAGCCACTGAAATTATTCACACTAGCCCATTCCAAACTGTTGACTCTGTCCTGTCTTGCCTTTTCTGCAGAAACCCCAATTAAGGCTCTGGCCTGTGCCTTCCCCTAGCTCCTGCTTCTGCCTCCTCTGTCCTCTCAGGGTTCGTAATAAAAGTGGCATTGACCTCTTTTTTTTCTCTTAAATTCTCACCCTGGGATATGTTTTTATTGACTTTAGAGGGAGAGGAGGGGAGAGAGAAACACTGATGTGTGAGAGAAACATCCATCAGTTGCCTCCCACACTTGCCCCGACCTGGGATGGAGCCCACAACCTAGGTGTGTGCCCTGATGGGAATCGAACCCACAACCTTTGGGTGTTCGGGAAGGTGCTCCAACCAAATGAGCCACACTGGCCAGGGCACATTGACCTCTTCTTCATGTAATGTAGTCACCTCCATAAATTAAAATCCTCAGAACAAAAATTAAAATAAAATTAAAATCCTCAGGGTAAAAACGAAACAGTACTATCTAATTCTGGATAATAAACATTACTTGGGGGAAATTTTTGTGTGCAGAAGACTGCAAAGTGTATTAGATGGCCTTCTAGTCCAATCTCTCCCTAGGAAATCTTAGACTCTGTGGTAAGTGAGAAAATAAGTGAATTAAGAAATGGAATTAAGCAAATATGGGTGCTTTGTTTGTGGTCAGGATGTAGAATTAGACACAGGTGGGAGAAGCATTCCCGGGATAAAATATGTGAAGACACACCCTACAACTCTGAAATGCATGTGAAAGTGCAATATTTTAACACAATCTTTTATTATTGAAGGTTGCAGTCACCCACCCGGTTTTTATGGCAATGCTGGGGCATCCTGCTCGTACAGGCGGAGTCCTGTCTTTGGAAAGGTGGATTCCCCCATCCTACTGTGAAGGATGGAATGAGGGGTGGGGGCGACGCCCCTGTATTTCAGGAGGTTCAAGCTCGGTTTAACTGGCAGTTCCGCGAAGCGCGCGGCCCTTCTCGAGTGATGGGCATCACCTGCTTAGGGCCGCACATGCACCCGTCACTGAGTGCAATCAGCAAGGTGCGGGCGGACCCGGGCTACCGCGGCTCGGCTCTTGGAGACGCAGCGGCCCCACCTCGCGCCCCGCAATCTGCGCAATCGCGGGGAGAACGCGCCCTCTGGCGATCG